AATAGCTTTTAAAAGCCTTCCACTGAGACGGTAGCTTGTGAATAGCAGTAGCCACCTGTAGAGATTCTGACATATTCAGACCCTCAGCATGCATTTCTTGCAAGTTCACTTGATACTCTTGCACTTGACTCACCACTGAACGTGAATCAACCATTTCGAAGTCCATGCACCGACTGGCCAAGAATTTCTTAGACCCAGCATCCTCGGACTTGTACTTCTTTTCTAAGGACTCCCAAAGCTCCTTAGCAGACTTTTTTACCACATACACGTGATACAGAGAATTCTGTAGGCCATCCAAAACATAGTTGCGACACAAAAAATCAGCACTTTTCCATGCATCCCAAACCACACGCTTATGCATATCAGTGTCGTTTTCAGCCACGACAGGGGCATCCTCGGTGAGGAAACGTGCAAGGCCCAAAGTAGTAAGATAAAAAATCATCTTATTCTGCCATGTCTTAAAATCAGTATCGGCAAACTTATCCGGCCGAATTGCATGATTCACCAGAAATGGTGCCGGAAACGATGGCAAAGGTACTGAGGCCACAACCCTAGGTTCTGGCAAAGGTATTGTGCCAAATTGAATTACTGAGGCCGTAGCCTTAGGCAAAGTGGGGTTCACTCCAACATGAGGAGTCCCGCCACCAATTGTCCCATCAACGGGAGGAAATCCAGTCAAGGTCTCCATAGGGTTGACATCAGTCATAGCGGGATTTGGTACACTGGTACCAACAGTGTTGTTTCCGTTGTTCACATCGTCGTTTCCGTTGTTCACATCGTCATTTCCATGTGACGCCATTGAACCAATTTGATTTAAGCTTGTAGGGAAATAATTGGAGAATCAAAGTATATTAATCAAACCGAATGTCCATATTTACACGGTTTCCTTAAATCGAATTCGCCGCCTCACCGGAATGCAAGAGGTTTGATCAGTGTTCGATTCTCAAGATACAATCGGTTGTCGGTTCACGCTGCACTACGTTAACCGCCTACGAACTAGCTGTGTTTATCTCTCAAGGAATTTTAGCAAATGAAGGAAAGGAACAAAACCGGAAAGAAGAAATGTGATGCTCGAAGCTTAGAAAGAAAGCAAGTATTTTTTTTCCTTGTTGTGTTTTTCTCTATTGAGAGCTCTTCTATTTATACACATAGAAGATGAGCCATCTCTTTAATCCATTGAGTGAGGAGTTACTTGAATGAAGAGTTAAGTATTGAAGAGAGGAGTTAAGCATTGAAGAGAGGAGTTAAGTATTGAAGAGATATTTGTAACTCATATTTTCATTCAATATTATTATTTTCCAACAGGAATATACCGACAAAACTAGAAAATGCAAGAAATTGAAAATTCTTATTCTGAATAATAACCATTTAAGTGGTAGAATCCCAACAGAGTTGTTCAATAGTGTTAATCTGGAATGGATTTCACTCACAAGCAATGGACTGATTGGTGAAGATTCCACGAGAATTCGAATATCTAGCGAGGCTAGCTGCTTTGCAACTTGCAAATAATAGCTTGAGTGGTCAGATACCGAAGCAACCAGCTAAGTGGAGAGATCGCGCCTCGACTTGGAAGGCAACACGTTAGTTTTTGTCCGAAATGTGGGGAATTTGTATATAGGAATCGGAGGGTTGCTTGAATTCTCCGACATGGTGGTGATGGGTGAGGTGGCGCCGGAGTTGTGTTGGTGTGGTGGCGTCGGCATTTTGGGGGTTCTTGTTTTGGGGTGGGTGGAGAAGCTAATATGATCTTTTTGTTTTTGATTTAATTATTTTATTTTAGTTTTTTTATATGAAAAAAAGTAAAATTATCCATTTGCCTTTTGAAAATTAGTCAACAATTAATTTTTTGTCAATCAATTTGGACTCTGGGTGCAACTTTTTTAAAGGTTTGTTACCGTGATTGGTACAAATGAAATGTTTAAAAAAAATATGCAATTAAATGAAAATTTTGATACTGTGACTTCAATTTTTTTTTTTTTTCCTCTCACAATCCCAAACTTTTGAGGGGACATCAAGTCTCGCCTACAGCCAACAAGAAAACAAATGATAACCAATAATAGACTAGAAAGCGTAAAGAAAACTTTCGACAACTCTTACTGTTTTCCTTGTGTTTAGTCATATCGCCTTTGCTCCTTTTCAAAAAGTTATTAATAATTTTCATTTTTCTATCCCGTCAAAGTCGAACATAAATTTCAATTGTATATTTATATAGCTACTCTTCATCGATGAATCACACACTTCGTAATATTCCTCCGGAAGGAAAGTTACTTATTCATTATTTTACAAGGTGAGAATTATCGTAAGAATAGACGAATCAAGTCAGATCCTGATGACGAATTCCATCCGAACCAAAAGAAAATTGTTTATTGTTGGACTCATTTCACTTTTTAAGTTTTAGCAATGATTGAGCAATTTGTTGAGCTGAACTTCAAAACAATAAAATCTCACTTGTCAAGAAAAAGGCGCACCGTTTCCCCTCTAGACGTGTATTGGACACTAAATGTAGAATTGACTGTCTATTTTTCTACCTAAGCGCGAGGCAAGACGGGACAATTTCTTCGAGCCCCAAGCCTAAGCGTGCCTAGAAGGAGCTTAATTGGGATCTTTTGGAGCAGTGATTAGTATACGAAATTAAATATATAGTACAAGGAACAAAAAAAATAAAAGGGATAGATATCTAAAAGGTTACGTGTAACAACTTTCTTACTTACACACAAAAATTAAAATTAAAAATAAAATAAAATAATTGTTCAAATGTGTTCAGAAGCAAAGCCGCGTTTGGAATGATCGAAGTGGGTTCGAATATGAATATAGTTACCACTTTCACGCATTGCTTGCACAATTTGCAATTGGTCCAATTGACATTTTTTTTTTTTTTTGAACTTGTGTACTTCAATATGTCCACATACAAAGTTAACATGTCCCATTCCCTAAAAGTCCATTTTTTTCCCAAGCTTATTTTCAATCACACATTCTTCAAATTAAATGATTTTGCATATAAACTTGAATTTTTTTCTTACTTTATTAACCACACATTTGCCAAAAAAACACTTTTACAAAACTCATCGTTCACGAAAATGGGGCTCAAACACAGCCCAAATAAGATATATAAAGGAAAATTATCTCACTTGCAATCCTATCCAGTTGAGCATAAAAAAGCCAAGCAACTACCAACTTTCACAAGCGCGCACAAATAAAAACGGACATGTACAAATTCTGCATGCAGCATACATGCATATTGGAAATCAATTTCTCTTCCATATCTTGAATCCTATGTACCAAAACGAAGCCAATATCTGAAGCAAAAATGGGACAGCATGACCAATCACTAAAACCTACAAGAAATTAAGAGAGAGAATCTGAATATGAAAACTTGTATCCTCTGCCTGATTTCAACTATATATGTTACAAAATCTTCTTGAAAGGGTTGTCTACCTATCTGCTAACTTAGAGTGAAGTGTCGGCTGGAACAACGAACAAACACAACAATACAACTAGCACGAATAGGTTCAACATCACCTGCACAGGACAAACCTGACGCCAGAATATTGTTTCAACTTGGCAATAGCTTCGGGTGTCTTCCCACGCTTGAGATCCAGATAAATTGCAGTAAGAATAGCTGGTATACTATTAGGTACCTCAGATAATGCTCTTGTCACGAAATGGTCGGCCCTCTCAAGATCTCCGAGCAATGCACAGTTGGCAGCATAGTTTGCACAAAAAGTTCCTCGAGCCTCTTCAGGCCTGAGGAACTCAGATCCTTGGAATTCAATTGGTGAAGCAGCAACATTAGGAGCCGCTGACCCACCATTCGACTCCTCACAATCCACCGCTTTTTCCACCTTCCACTTTTCACAATCCTCTTGGCTGTACGGAAACTCCACATTGTTCCCACAAGACACATACGTCATCAAAACATCAGCAGCTTCCATTGGCCGATTTAACAGGCATAAAGCCTCGGTAGCATACATGTTGCCCAAGAAATTGTATATTCTTGAGCACTTGGGAAGTTTTAGAAGAGATTTTGCTGTCGCCAGGGCCTTCAAGGGATTTCTTATTGCCAGTTCCACATAAGCCAAATCAGCAAGTACGGCTTGCTTGATCATCTGATTCTCATTAATACAAATATCTTCATATCCAGGAACAGAGTTTTGCAGCGATGCGATATGACAACTTCCACTCTTTTGTTCTTTCACTTCAGCATTTGCAAGAACGTGACTTGACCCAGATGATACAGGAGATGCTAGCTTTTCTCTTGATTCACTTTCTTCAGTAGTCAAACCAGATCCAGAATATTTTCCCTCAGAAATTTCCAGTAAATACAAAGCATTGACAAGACACTGCCAGGCAAGAGACATCGAGAGATCAGGCTGCTTCCCATCACCTAACAAAAGACCTCCCTTCCCAATAAATTCCTGCTGGCCATTTGTAGAATTGCAATATTTCACTGCAAGTTGCCTCCATTTTCCCTTCCCAATGACATTGACTCTGATATCAGATCTGTCAGCTGTGGACGGAATGGACTTCATTAGTCCCTTCTCTAGCGCCACGAGACAGCACTCGGCGATTCGTAACCACAAAAGAGGTCTATTGTAAAAGATTAGACTGGCCTGACGGAAACAGCGAACAGCATGGAAAGGTCTTCCACAGGCCAAGTGATGCACTCCACAATTATAGGTTATCAAGAGGGATTTATCCTGTGATAAAGACATGAGCTTCAGAGGTTTTTCCTTCCGTAAAAGCGAGCTGCTATTTAGGGCTTTGGAAAAGAATACTCCAGAAGTGTGATATTTTCCAAGTTGGTAATAGATGCATCCAAGATTGTTGTAGTACATGCTAGAAATACCAGTCTCTGCATGGTTACTTGATGCCATCAAAAGCTTAATTGCTTTGCAATGGTTCCCACGAGCATATTCCAGCTGTGACTTCAGATAGAGAACCGTGGGATAATCTTTTCCACGAGCCACATTCATAGCCATTTTGACTTCCCGCTTGGCTGCCTTAAGGTTCCTGGTGAGGAGCAAAAAACGAACCTTGAACAGATGCAGCTTAAGCTTTAGATCAGCGGCTGATATGGACTCTTCAGCTTGGGTCCTCAGAAGATCATTTGAAGATGGGAGGCCAGAACGTCTTTCATGGCTCTGTTCGCTGATGCCCAGAGAAGATAATAGCTGTAGCGATTCATCTTCAAGTACTTCCTCTGATAAAGCTGGCAAAGAATTTACTAAGGTATTTGCAGTAGTAATTGAATCATAATCAGAGCCGTCAGGAATAGTTGATTTGCTGGGAACTGAAGTAGATATAGACACTATTGCAGGTTGTTGCTGTGCTGAGTTTCCATCATCCACTTGACTGATGCTATTAACACCAAATGCCTTCTCCATGTAACTTATGACATCCTGGACATAAAAAAGTCAAATTACTTGTAGTTGAGCAACTTAAAGAATGAGAGGCTTCCCACTATTTAAAGCAGTGTATAGCTAGTTTAAGTTCAGATTTCTTGGAAACATGCCTACAGGCATGGTTGAAGCACAGCACTCAGATGACATGCAAACAAAGATTACAGAAGCATAAAGCCCCAAAAAGCACAATGCACAAAAACACAGGAGATTCTTGTATTCTCTTTAATCTTAAATTATTTCAGTTTGTCATGTGTTGTGGATATATGGCTTTTGAAAGCAGATTAGTTGCTGACTAGTTTTTTTTTTTTTGGCTGAAATTACTTTGTCGTTGTTGCAACATAATATCTGAGCTGCATCGTTGTTACAGCATCCATCTCACAACATCCATCATGCATTCAAACTTCAGATCACCAGGACTTGAATCAGCAGTTTTAAACAGCATAAGAGAACATAAGCATATAACATTGTCCCATTTAGCCGATTAGGCCACTTGACTATAATTCTTCAGATCCATCAAATCATAATGAGGATACAGATGCAGAACAGAACACAATACATGTTCTATACCATTCGAGTACAAGATAAAAAAGACATCACCAAGGAATTATAACCTTCCAATAACAAAAAAGACATTTGAGAACCATAGCCAACAACCCCGCTTCCCACTGGAAAATAGAAATGTTCTATTTGAAAGGTATGGAAAAGAAAAAACGAGTAATTAGAAACCTAAATTTTCCATAAAAACCAAAGATAAACCTTTGAAGCTTAAACAAATATGCTAATAGTATCATTACTTCAAGGAAAGAAGTTAAATATTTCCTAATTTTACAAGGTTTATTTCATTTTGAGAACAATTTTTAGTTCTTTCAAAAATTATTTTTTTTGGAAGGTAGTTCTTTCAAAAATTATAACTTACCATGGTATCAGAACATTGAACCAATGCTGACTACCATTATCACAAATTTTAGCTAGGCTCCTTCCACCTCAATCATTAGAAGATACCGCATGCTAATATCAATTTGTATTGAAAATTCAAGTTTCTTTCACCAAGAAGAGAAGAAAATTGAGGCACTGCTCAACTAAAATTCTTAAGTGGTGTAAGGGACATATTACAAGTTGGGAAAAAATCTAACAACAAACTAAGCCTTACTCCTAGTAAATTTGGGGTGGGCTACATTAATTCTTTAACACCATTCCACTACGTTCATTGTTAGATCTACATGGAGATCTACCGCAACTAAATCCTTAGTAACTACAATAAGCCACATCAATTTTAGTCTACCCCTCCGTCTTCTAATTTGCTATTGCGAAATTCCGTCACACTTAACAAACGAGAGCCTCCTTGTGTCGATATAAAAAGTGATCCAACCACATAAGTCATCTTTCCCTTAATTTATCAGCTGATTCAGCTCCACCACTACTTATTGGCATATATTTTCACTCTTATCTTGTCCATTTTAGTACGACCACATATCCATCTTAAAGTCCTTACTTTCCACTACATTCATCTTGTAGACATGTGTCCTTTAATAGCCCAACACTTGGAACCGTAAAACATAGCTGGTCTAATTATTCTTCTGTGGAAGTTGCCATTTAAACCCAATGGAATCTTTCTATCACATAGAATTCTTGTAGCACTTACTCCATTTTATCCAACCAACTAAAATCCTATTCAGAACACCCTCTTCAATTTCTTATTCCTTGTTAATTGATTTTGGAACAACATGGTCATAAGTACTAATTCCATAAACTTGAGACAAAAATTTTAAAAAATGCATGAAAGAGAAAACAAAACTTATTTCATGCACACATAAAGTTGTTAGGTTTCACGCAAACTGAAACAAAAGAGTGTTAGAAAAGCTTATATATATAAAGAGCACGGGTAAAAATATTTGAACTTACAGCAGATCTGGATGCATGGTAGGAAAGTAATGAAACATCCAGCAACAAGAGGCAAATACGCAGAGCTGTACCCTGCATGTAACCATATAAGGTCAGGTAAATATGCATCAAACATTGACACGCCAGCTCCAATGGTTTGTCGGCACTTCCTAGAATTTAACAAGTACACCCAACTTCATTAACAATAATAAGGCTACTGCTATGACTGATTACCTCATCAATAGGTTCAATGTTCTGATATAAAGCTTCCAAAAATGAGAACGATTTTGCATAGTCATGAAGATGGAACCAGATAACTGCCTGCAATCAGATTCAATGCATATAAAAATACACGAGGAAAGATTATAACCCAACTCAAGAGCAACGTCAACATCAAGAGAACATACTATGTTGAACGTAGCCACTGAACTGTCGAACTCATCGCTGTAACCAACTGGTGAACTAGAAAATTGATGCACCATACCATTACTGCCTTCCACTCCAGCTGTAATTTTGCTTCCATCGTTGCCGAGAACCTCTACATGTTCTCTAGATGCACAGGCAAGCTCTTCACTTCGTTTCTAAATTGAATAAAATAAGTCAATAGAACATTGATTATGAAGAGCCTAACACTTACATACTTATATATCCACTATTAAGAACGTTATGTCAAGGAACAAGGACCAAAACATAGGTCAAGGTTTGGCCCACCACCGCTCTTTGTTTTATTGTGGAAAATGATGGGTAGTTTGTGGAATCAGATGTCATCTACAACAATATTACATAGTAAAATGTTTGCGGTTATGTATGCCATGTTTACATCTGTAAATGTATGTACGTATATTCCACAATGTGAAAATCAAAAGAGGGAAAGGAGAGACTTCTAAAATTCATATAAAGAGTGAGAGTCAGATATAGGGCAAATAGTTGGACACAATTAATTCATAAAAAGGATAGAAAATTGATCATATACTCAAAATCTTTATTCTCCACTTTAAGCTAATCTTACAAGACAAAGTAAAGCTTTAGTTCACTTATCAGATAATTGTGTAACTAAAAATATTCAATATGCAACTTTCTAAAAAGTTTTTGGCATTAATTTTGCATGCTGAATAACACTTGTAGCAAAGGACATTAAATAACTTTTAGAAGGTGCAAACACTTTTTCTTGTCTTACTAATTCTTTTTGGAGAACGTGGATAGACTTCATAAATTTAATAGAAAGGAGGCATCATACACAGCCAAAACTTTCACTAACTACTGACATTGGGCATTATAACGTGAATTTCAGCATTCTCTGACAGAATCTTATTTGAAATAGTTTTTAGGCCTTCACGAAAGCAGACTCTTTTAATCCATAATTCCTTACACGCGTAACACTAGTCAATTTCTGGTGTAATACTGACTACATGACTTGTGTCAGAATTTTCATTTTTCACATTTTAAGTGTCTGTTTCTTTTTTTAAAAATATAATTTAATAATCCATATAAGAACTGGGAATTGCTCTCCAATTTGTCCTACAATGGGCATGTCACAAAAAAAGTGAGAAACAGAAGAAATATCTGTCCAATAGTGCACGATTCTCCAAATATTCTATAATGAAACCACTCGAAAAAGCTTATTGCAGAAAAGAATACAGCCGGAAACATAAATGTCTTTTAGTATTCATATAAGCATCTCCACATCAAATATCGATACCATAGAGAATCCATATAATGCTTACACAACCAAGTCAGGTTTCCTCATTTAGAGACATGCAATAATATCAAGAGTGCCTCCGGTAACTAGGCTTCTCCCAAAAACTCTTGCCTCACAGGACAAGAAAATATCGACACGCTACATATGCAAACATGAGCTTGATGGGAGAGATTTTTCCAAGTAAAAAGTGATTTTTTTTAGAGAATATATGGTTAAAAAGTAGGGAAAAATTATGGATCCCAAGACTGTGTGGCAATTTTGGGAAAAATGATTTTCAAATAAATCTCCCCGGACAAGCTCTAAATGAATAACAGGTTGCTACTTATGTTTATTAAAAGGTATTGTCTAAACCACAAACCTTGACATTTTCAAGTGCTTTAATAAGCCTCCTAGGATTTGAATAGCCATCTTGAATATTCTCCACAATTGCAATGTTATGAAGAACCTAAAATGGCAAAGGAATTACAAATAAGCAATAAAGATTCATGAGCGAAACTTTCTATGAAACAACTAACTCAGATTTACACTATAGCAAACTAAAAACTTTTGATAATAAAATGTATGAATGGAATTTGTTGCGTGCCTAAATATTCTAGTACAAGATGTCAGCATTTAGACAACAGCCAGTCAAACAGATCATGTGACTCGCCCACAGAAAATCAAACTGTAAATTATATAAACCTATGACTTTCTTTTCCTTTTCCTTTTTTTCTTTTTGTCAGAAGTGTCTTGTATCATAATGAAATGAGATGTTCTTAAAAACCAAAGAAGATTTTTCTACAAACAATCACAACAATAACCTGAGTGTATATATGGAAATTTGGATGTATAACATACACTTGACAATTTCCATTAAAACCACTAACGTGAAGTCCAAAATACAAGATGTGATTCAACCCATCTTCAACACAAACCAATCTAACCTGCATGTGAATGAGTAGACTGGCATTCAAACCACGTTTGAACAGTCCAATTGGTCCTCCCGAAACCAATGAAACCCACCATTCCATGCCCCGTTAGGTATGAATAGAAAATTAATGGCTTTACTAGTGAGATCTTGCGTGTTACGGTTCTACATTTTTTATTTAAAGATGTAACTTTATCATTGGATTAACTTAAGGTTGAAATAAAGCTGCAATATGTTGCAGAATTAGGTGCATACTATTTTGCTTCTGTTTATTCCAATTTATTTCCTGATTATAAGGGCAGTACATGTTGTTGCTGGCCAAATTCATTGGGTGGGTTGTTCCTATTTATGGGAAACCAACTTTAAGATTTCCTTGTATTTAAGCTCATGTTGCTTATGAAATAGAGGTTGGACTGAAAATCAATCAAGCTTTGAGTTGTTTGGGAGGTGCTAATCCCTCTGCACATTAGCAACTTATTTTCTTTCCATCTGTATTTTCTTATTCCCTCCCAAAAGTAATGAGCTTCTAAAATTGTGATATATATGCATCCTCACGAAATGAACCAAGGCAATCGTCCATCGACCTGATATAGTCCAATAGACACAACATAGTGGTTAAATTTACTTCGGAAGTAGCTTATGTCCTTGCAGAAGACAATCTGACCATTATGCCTCAGTCATGTCCATTTCTAATTTTAGCTGTGTATAGTGTGCCAAAAATGAACACAACTCTTGATACCCTAAACACGATTTCAACCCCAAATAAAAATGAAACCGAACTCTTTTTTCGCCATAAGAGAACTTAAAAATGTATATGAAGTGAAACTTCAAAGTATTAATTCCAGAATGCAATGAGAACACTGAAAAAAACACTGGCCAGCTTCGTAAACTTTTGATTAAGACAAATAATTATTGTTTCTAATATTTCCAAAACTTCAGAAATTATGTTTTCTCAAGCAAAGAAGAAAACAACCGTTTCCCACTCTGATCATAGATATTTTCACTATAGAAGAAGTTAGATCTCTCAAACCTGGATGGGATGTAACTATTGTTCATGTCAACAACTATCCCCTGCTTCACTGATTATAAAGCCTGCCATGTTTTTGATGTTTTCAATAATCTCTGACCAACCACATTGCTTCCAAGCCTCAAAATTCCAAATGCTATTGATAAACCGTATTTCAGCAATTGCCCCACAATCCGGACAAATAACAAAGCAGAAGCATAGTCTGAGAGAACTAGAGAAGATTACTACTTCTAAGAAATTTCCCCAAATGCGTTCAAATTAAAACTTCTTTTGCGGAAAAACTATAACCTAACATGATGCAACTAAAAATTCAAGGCTCTATATGCACTATAACATTAGTCTATTGCAACCTCAAAATTCCGGTTTCTGCAAAGAGAACAGAAATGCTAAACTGATTTTCTGTTTCTTCCCATAAATCCACTTCAGTTACCCTGCATGTGCATTTTCCCAAAATCCAATACAGAAAAATCAACTCAGATTCTAATAGGAAACGGAACAAACATAAAAGTCAATAAAAAATTAGTTTAAACCAAAACTAATCACCATAAAATGAAATTCTTATAAACCAATAAATTCAAGATTAATTAACCACCTTTGGGTCATCATCTTTCCTCTGCAAGAGCTGATTTAAGACTCTCAGACAATCCACATACTTCCCCGCTTGGAAGAGCATGCCGGCCTCCTTAGCAAGCCCAGAGGCGATTGACAGAGAACCATCGTCCTCCGATACCACCACTGCCGTCGAAATCAAAGCATCGCTACTCGCAATTGGGAATGACGAAGAAGTTGAATCCATTAACACAGAGATCGATTTAATTATTCCAAAATGCACTAAAGATGAAGAAAAACCTCAGCTTCTTTCACTTCAATACCTCACTCGAGTTTTACGACTAAACCCTAAGTCATAATTACAAGAACAGAAAATCAATGTTATATAAATGTACACACAAATATATATACGTGTGTATGTGTGTGGATTGCGATGGTCGATTTTGAGCAAGAGAGTACGGATAGAGAAAAGATAGAAAATGTGGTGAAGATTTCATGCGAGGTCACCCAACTTACACGTTTATTTGATGTTACTCATTTAACTTCAATTTCATTCATTTTAATTGCATAACTTACGTTTGTGTTTCAATTTGCCTGTGAATTTCTTTCAATTTAACGTCGGATCGACTCAGGCATTATTTCCATGCATTCTTAGTAACTATAGTTATGTTGAATTTTTGTAATTTGAGTTACATAAAAAAAAAATGAAAGAATTAGATTATCTTCATTCATTTCATTCTTTTGAGAAGTGAAGAATATCAATAGGGAGTAACAAGGTGACGCTCATAGTCCGGCTATACCTCTCTTCTAAATTAATGTTGTAAGCAAAATAAGTATTCAAACTCCTCCTTTAGACCTACACGTGTGCCCCTAAGACAAAATTGTTGATGTCAACTTATTTAGGGCGTGTTCGGTAGAAATTAAAATTAAATTAAAATTGAAAAATTAGTAATTATTGTTGACTTTTATTAGACGAGTGGGACCCAATAACGACTATATTTTCAATTTTAATTGTATTTTAATCACTCCCAAACATGCTCTTAATCCATCCTTTCACGAGACACGTGAGACTAATCATTAGTGCTGGTCACACGTACATACAGATAGTTCAATTGAAGCTAATATGTAAATGGGTGATCCAATTGAAACAAATCAAAATTGAACAAACAACTCAAAACAATCTTGTAAATTGAATGATTAATCTCGGGTAACATTTTCACGGGCTCGTGGGGCTAGGGTGAACCGCGAGTCAGAACTGTTGGTTGGGGAGACTTTCATGATGAGCAAAATGTAAATTGCAATCTCAAACCTTTGGCCAAAGTAGTGAACCTTTTATCCAACAACTTTTTCACCCGATTTTTACCTCTAACCTTTGAGAAATTACCGGACCTTCTAGATGGTTTACGCCAATATTTTGGTCAGTACAAGCGAACCGCACAAATCGTTTTCATCACGGGTAAAAATATTAAATTATTTTAACAAATTTAAAAAATAATACACACCATCTAAAAACACAAAAAATAACTTATTTAAAAAAATAAAAACTATCCTTCCTCATCAAGATCCCACCGCCACCAATACCCAACACCACTTGTCGTTGTTGCCACGATATATACACCTACCATGGCACCACTGCTCACCGTCGCCCCACTACTGTTGATTGCCACCCCCACTCGCTTTCCATTACGTGTGAACTAGAGGGAAATTATCTCTCTCCCGATATTATTAAAATGGGAAATGGTAGGGGATGGGTGGGGGTGCAATGGTGGTAGGTGTACGCTTGTCAATTCGTGTATGTGCTTATCACATTTTATAGATTTTTTCTTTATATTGCTTTGAGTGCATGGATGCTTTTGCCCTTCATTGAAAGGCAGGTGCAAGTTTCTTGACTTGATTTATTTAGGAGGGAGCAACATTCAATTCTGTTTAAGTTCAAAGAAAATCGAAATGAACCTATTATTAGTGAGTAACTTAAAACTAGAATCATAATTCTATCTCTTAGTACGAGACTAAATTGGTTCTAATTCGAGTTTCAATTCGGTCAAGTCCGATTATTTTAATTAAAGTTGTCAAATTCATTGACCGATGCAAATGATGGGGTGTACAACTCTATAAATTCTTAAGCTATAATTGTTCGAGTATCAAAAAATTTCATAATCTCTTCAATGAAATGATATAAATCAATGCTAATGATTGGTATTTTTCAAATTTAATTAAAAACAACAATTTACGTCAAATGGTTAACTACAAGCATAATATTATTGGCTTGAACAAGCTCTTGAAAATATGTGTCATTCTCATTTTCACTTTCTTTATACTTTTGAGGGATTAAAAGAACACAAGCATCTTATTAATCGATAATTACATTTTATGAAATTTAAAGATCCGTATGTTTTGATTATATAAATAACATCATAATGAATTGAATAAGAGCTAGTGTCCTATGGTCAAGTTTTGAAGAAAAAATGTAAATGGCTAGGTACATTGCATCACTTACAAAACTAATCGATTCTTGATTATAATACCTATGATTGTTAGAACTTAAGTGGAATCAGATCGATTTTGGTTTGATTTTAATAACTTTTTCCCACCCCAGCTTAACCCCTGAATTAGACAGAAACCGTCCAGAAGAATTGAATTTGCTAATTTGTCCAATGTCGTGGAGAAAAATTGGACGAAAAAATTTGATTCGGGAGAAGATTACTAATTTGGAAATAGATTGGGGACTAAATTTGTAATTTACTCAGAAAGGAATAGATGTACCTGTACCTTTGGACATGCACCGAATTGTTGTACTTTTGATGTGTTTCCGTCAGTTGGCCACCTTTGAATTTATTTGACTCGGACCAATAGAGATAATGTTTCAACGGACCCCAATCCATATGGTTTGAAATACTGCTTTTAATTGGGGTGTGTTCATTGCCATGAGAAATGTTTCCTAAAAAAGAAAACATTTTCTTTATTTTGAGGAAAACAAAAAATTACATTCCTTAATAAAGAAAACTAAGCATTTTTCCAAAAGTTAGAAAATATTTTTCATAAAAAAACAACGACAATCAAACACTTTAAAAATTGAAATTCGAATGAAAAAATGTCATTTTCCACGAAATTTTTTCCAATCAAACACACCTTTAATGTAGTTTGTGAGGCGCAATAATCAAATTTGACACGGCCAAATAATTAGGCAATAAGTCAGTGGTTCAATCAACAGGTTGATTGTCCAATTGGGTAGACTAATGTGCAAGTCAATTTATGTTTACTTGATAACTTGTGGGTTTGACCAGTTTTCATGTCCAATTTAGCCCCCGATTAAAATCATATTTTTAATATATTTTGATAGAAGTTGATAAAATTATGGTTAAAAAGTAGTGGAACCCATAAAATATGTAATTAAAATTATTTGTTGACTTTAACATAGATTAAAATCTAAATTTTAATCAGAATCCAACATGGACTTATTCACCCAAAGTCGACAAGCCTTTAGTTAGAAGTTTGGTTATATTCACTCCATATTTTTTTTAATGAATACATCACATTTTAATTATATTAAAGGTCATTAATTTTTATTCATTATCATACTTATATTCTTAATTTTTTCATCATCACATTCTTAATTCTAACATTTCATTAAACAGAAAATATTGTCCTTAATCATAATTTTCGTCCAAAAATATTGATAACGTGCTTTAAAATGGGTGTAATTATATTTTTGCATTATTATCTGTTTTGATTGTTTATGAACCTTTTGAGTTAGGGAAAAGCCATTTGTACCCGGACGTTTACACTCCCGGGTACACGGGCCCACTGCCCCCCTCACAATGAGGGGGGCCCCGAGGTGAATTAAATAATGGCGGGCCCCCTCAATGTGAGAGGGGGCGTGGAGTCGGGTACACGAGCGTGTAGCAAGGTTCTTTGATTTAATACACACTGATGTTTGTGGACCACATAAAATTTATCCTTATTCTGGTGATTGATATTTTTTAACTAGATCCACAATAGAGGCAGAAACATCCTTTCAACAATCCACCTGTCCGTTCCATGCACCAACTCATCTCCAAGATTATTGAATCAATCATACCTTGCCGCTTTGAACTCTTCTTCTCTGATTTAGAGGGTGTTTGGTGGAAATTAAAATTAGATTTTTAGTAGATTATGATAGAAATTTTTTAAATGCGTAGCTGAAAAGTTCTGAGACCCATGAAATATGTGGTTAATATTGATTGTTTGACTTTGACTTTGATTAAAATCAAATTTTAATTTGAACCAAACAAGGACTAATTCAAGTAATCACCATCAGGTATATGTCATATTCTCACCTTTCTCGTGCTCATCGTACCTCTGTTATTAATATCTCTTGCTTGATCGAACCAAAAACATATAAGAAGGCTGGCTTGTCGAAATCCCAAATAGATCGAGGCGAGGCAATAAAGGCTAAAATTACCACACTTGAGGCAAACAAAACTTGGTCTCTGGTCTCCCATCCCTCGGGATATCGCCCCATTGGATGTAAAAGGATCAAATATTATTGTAATGATATCGTTGAAAGCCTACCTGGTTGCCATGGGATTTACTCAATCGGAAGGCATTTGCTACATATAAACCTTTGCTCCGGTTATCAAACTCACCACTCTCTGGTGTCTTCTTGCTATTGCATCCATCCATGGTTGGAACCTCCACCAAATAAATGTAAAAAATGCCTTCTTACATAGAGATCTTACTAAAGAGGTATACATGCTCCTGGCTTCATTCGACGGGTGGAGCTACTTGTGCATTATGAATTAAAACAAGCCACACGATCATGGTTCTACAAATCTCTATGCTATCAATAAAATTGACTACTCTCTATTTGCGATTTTGCTAAACCTTCGTTTGGTTTTTTAAAAAATTATATTTTCGTAAATTTTGATAAAAGCTAATGAGATACAAAGTTGACAAAAGTTATGACTTCCATAAAATATATGGTTAAAATTAACTTAATTTTTTTAGCTAAATAAAAAAGAAACTTAATATCGCTTACATATTTGGCAAAATTAGTAATCACAAGAATTCAACTAATAATATAAATACTAAAAAAGACTTACACAATCAATATTTCAAACTTTAGTTTCAACAAATAACAATCTAAATTATTATATTATTTTTCCAGTTGAAATTAAAATATTTTAAATACATTTCATTATAGCCAAATTCACTTTTTATTTTAAAATGTTAATGCAAAGAGTTTTTTGAAATATAATTTTAAGGTTTGACTTTTTGAAGTAGAGAAGATCTTGTGGTAGATGGGCGTGATGAAACAAAGCCCAATCAATATACTATGCCTCTATTTGGGCCCAATTTTATTTAAAATTTGAGAAAATTACCTAAAACCCTTCTTTTTAAGATTACAATTAAAAAAAAAGGAGATAAAGTTTACAATTCAAAAATCAGGTAGTAAATAAACTTATCAATTTAATTAATAAAAATTTAATTAAACATTTATCTGCCTAACAACCCCCACCCCGATTAATCCCAAACCCAGCCCCAACTCTTTCTAATCTCTACCCAGTCTCTCTTTCTCTCTACCTACTCTTCCTTCCTTCTCTCTCTAGTCTCTACCACCACTCTGTCCATCCCCATCTAACCCCCTACGGCGGAGCACAACCGTCGGAGAAAGCAGATGCCCGTAGCAGTTCGAACACCGGGTCCTGATTCGATCGGTTGGAAAGAACAGATAATAGGGAGTTCGGGCCGCCTGACCGGACGGTGGAGACGGTGGTCTCGAAAAGCTTGCCTCCGACGTTGAGCTTGATGCGGTCGCTGCCATCGGGTTGGGTGGCAAAAGTATTGTTGGGAATTCTGCCCTCTATATACAGTTGTTACAAGGAGCTTATCGCTTGGGATCAGTTTGGGATTTGGGAATTGAAATGGAAAAAGTCGTCGCTACAAATGACAGTTTGAGGATTTTTACACAATGCAATTTGGAGTTAAATTTGTCGCTACCCATAGTTGAGCAATCATTGGAGTTAATTTTGAACATTTGATCCAAGGAAGCTACATAGTTCTAACATGAAGTCTGGAAACAAACTTTTGTACAATTCTATTGGTGGCACTGATTTTTTGAATTGTGGATGGTTTTTGATCTGTGGTTTGTTGGTGATTCTATTAGTGGTATTTGTTGGTGGTTTTTGATCTTTTTGAAGTTTGTTATTTTTGGTGGTGTTGGCGGTGATGGTGGTAGTGGTGGTGCAGGTGATGGTTGTGGCGATCTGAGCTCCGACGAGGTGGCGCTCGTGCTTTCAAGGCCAATTGAGGTGGCACTAGGATAGTTAGCCATCTGGGCTTCACTTGAAGGTAGAACTATGGCTGCGGGGGTTGTGTTTGTGTTTAGCTGGTTGTGTGTTTGAGTTTGGGTTTGATCTATAAGTGGAATGGTGAGGGTGTTAGTAGTGGAGGAGGGGCTGGCGGCTTGCCCAATTGTTTGGGCTTCTGTAGTAGTTAGAGTTGTGGGGATTGTGTTGGTGGTAAGATTAGTTGCCTTCTTAGTCGTTTGATTATGACCGATTGTGATAGATTTTGTGTTGATTGTGATCGATTGTGACTTGAGATTGACCAGTCATAGACAGTCACACTCAACACAAATTTGGTCACAGTTAGTTATTGAATACACACTTGGTCACAATTAGTCACATATAGTCACACTGAACAAAAAAAAAATTTGGTAATTTTTTTTTTTTTTTTTAGGTGGAGGCTGGGGTGGGGTGGTGGTAGGTGGATCCATGGGTTGGGAGCGTGATTTCTAATTTTTTTGGAAATTTTGAAATTGTCGGAGCAGTCGCCGACGATAGAAGGAAGGTGGTGTTATGGGGTGGGTGAGGTGTCATGTGGTGTAAATAATTAATATATATTATATTATAATATTTAATAAATTTATGTACCACCTGATTTTTGAAATATTTTAATAAGTTTGTTATTTATGAAATGTAAATTTTAAAATTAAGAATTATGTATTGTTCCCTTAAAATTTTCATTCTTTTCTTTTCAATCACACTTCCTCCAATAAAGCTCATGTTTCACAAACATATTCTCGAACTTTTTTTAAATACTTATTTTCAACCACACATTTACACAATAAAATATTTTATGCGTAAACCTATTTTTTGCTCTACTTTTTATTCACTCATTTTTCTAAAAATTTCTATTAAAAATATTATTTTTTTGAAAATACTGACCACAAAAAAGGTGCAAAATAATATCACACGTAAATCTAATTTTCTTTTTCCTCTTTAACTATATATTTTTTAAAAAAAATCATTATTTCAAAAAAGTCAACAAAGTTGCAAACATTTCACTGCACTGACTGGACAGATGATATCTCGTGCCCAGATTTTTTCGGTGAAACGTCAGGATTCACCACTTTCACCCCACTCGTGTCGTACAACATCTGTCAAGTCAGTACCAACAAGATTACTAACCGTGGGTCCGTGTCCTTCTGGTTGTCTAAAAATACGTTATGCCCGTGATCTTGAGATTTTTTTTAAGGATCGCCGTATTTGCCTTTCATTCTTTCAATTTTTTTCATATTAGAATTGAGCTTTATTTCTTATGGGACGTTACGTTTGCGGAATTTCAACATAACATAGAAGTAGAAGATGGTACACTTCTTGCTTACAATGAACAATAGCATAGAAAGCGAAAACCTACAACATAATTTTCAACGATATTATTCTCCCAATTTTTGATGATCCATCACCCAGCTATTTAGAATATGCAAGGAATTAGTGCCTTTACACGTGTGGGAAAATCTTCGAACTTGGACTGGTACCATTTTCTAGTGGCACGACTCCTTCCCATCAAATAGAAAGCAGAGCCCGCTGTAAAGCAAAATGAATATAATGTTTGGGAAATGCATGAAATCCCTGAAAACCCAATGATCTCGCAAAGATAGTGTGGACATATTACCAAACTAAAGAGGCCACCTTGGGGTATTTTGTAATTTTTTTCACCCTTTGTTCTCAATTTGGAGAGGAGGTAATGGTGGTAGAAATTGCCACTAATTCCCACTAAGAACAATATGGCTCCAACATACTTGAGGTCAGTTTGGGGTTCTGGAAATCTTAGGGTTAGATAATGAGAGTAAATTGTGGTGGCTGTGTAGACGACGTAGACGATAGAGGTTAAAATTGCAGTTTCAGTGTCCATGAATCCACTATATTTGTGAACAAACAGCACCTACGAGTCAAAATAAAGAATAAAATGAATAAGAATATACATCCATAGAGAAAATTATGAGCTCAAAGTAAAAGTAAGTTGTTATAAAATGAAACGGGGATTCAAGTGATCATTGAAGTATATATCAAGTCCGAATATGTCATTTAACCCTCGTTTGGTACTCATTATTTTCAAAATACATTTTTCGATAAAAACTTTTTTTTACTAATTACTTCTTCACCACTTATTCTATGAAAACTTTTTAGCTCTTCGAGCACTGTATTACATAACATTGACTTCATTTCCATCATATAAATATGAAGTGTTGATGTAAGTTTTACACAAAAATGTCATTAATTTTGTATGTGGGAGTGTATGAGAGAGAGAGAGAGAGAGAGAGAGAGAGAGAGAGAGAGAGGCGAGTACCTCGAAGATCCTCTTGAAGAAATGAATAGTGATGGCCGAACGTAGCAAATCAAACCTAAAATCCCCAACCGGTGCGAGGAAAAAAGAGCCAACTCCGACAAATAATGCAGGAGCATACCCTAAAATCATGCCAATTTTACTGGAGATTTTGGCCTTTTTATCAGCAGGAATTTTCTGATCAACGCCAAAATTCCATAATTTCGAATACTGCGCGTTCTTCCCTTTGAATTCCATGATTCCTGCATTCACCGTCAAAAGTATACTTATCGTAGAGATCGCTATCACAAATGGATTCGACGGCGGCGGGTACATGAATTTCAGTACTACAGATAAAACCATATTCACCAAATTTTGACGCTGTGGCTGCTGTATTGTTGTGCGTAGTGGCCTTGTTGGTTGGGGTTTATAAATGTGAGAGTTGATAAAAGATAAACTGATGAGAAAGCACATGCGATAGTGTTTTGTTTGGAAAAGTGTGGAAAAGTGAGTAATAAATCCACTACATGAGGCACTAAAATATTTTTGTATGTACAAAAGAGAATGGGCTTACTGCATAATCCTTAAACTCTTTTTTCATATACATATACATGACATCAGCATGAGATAAGGATGATGAGTTGGATATATAACAAATGACTTTTCATTGGTGAGAGTTGGGGTAATCTCCAATCGTGGTGTATAATAGATGTAAATTGTGATTTAAATCTTCAAAGTGGTCGAAAACTGCTCCAATGGAGAGATGCAAATAAAATGTAAATTGCATTTTTAGCTTGAAAATGTAAAAAAATATAAATTTACAAGAGAGAAAAGTGGATTTAGACTTTTCATTGGAGCAAAATTTGAATTTAGATTCATTGAGATATAAACGAGGTTGTAAAAAGTACTTTTGGATATATCTATTTACACTCAATTTTACATCACGGTTAGAGATACTCTTAGGGGTTTTCTGAATAGAAAAGATGATGAACCTTCAATCTTTCCTTTGGAAAATTCTCGTGTCTTTTTCGGAGATCATGTTTGAGGGTTGAGTGAATATTAGGAACAATTGAGTGTTGAAACTTCGCACAGGGAGAGAAATATTTGCATTGATGGGTTGATGCTATTATTTGTGAAAAGGAGATGGAATTTCTTTAAGACGCAGGAGGTGGCATCTGACACCAACTGGAGCACATTATGCGACACACCGATATCCCCATAATGAAGTAACTCGATCGAGCTGCCCAAAGTTACAGCGTTGTTAAACTTCACTATTGGTCAAGTCGTAAATTTCGACACAAAATTTTAATTCCATGTCATCAAATTCGATTATTCTTATTAATCTAGTAAAATATAAAATTATCTAAACTATCCTACATATATATTGATGAAATGTTATAGTAGTTTCTATAGTTTAAAGTTTCTTTTTAAATGTTTATGACATTTATTTATCTTAATTTTATTATTATTTGTCAACTTAGGTGTGGAGTGACATATATGTCAATGGGTTGATGTGTCAATTTATAGCTAAACAATCCTTAGTGACGATTCCTCCTCCTATGGTTACGACCAAATTGTTGCGTGTAAGTATTTATTTATTTATTTATTTTTTGACAAAAAAATATTCCTCTGTGTGTACGCTAAACAATCAAGAAAAGGCAATTGCATTTATATGGGAAACACAAGATTGATTGGTGTTGATGGATTGGAATTGTCTCATGCAAATGGCACTAATATTGGGGCGGTGAGGGCTGCATCAATGGACTGTCACTTTTCAATTATTTTAGCTTTATGATCCAATCAAATTTGAGAAATTAAGGATATTTCATAAATCTTCACAATTTAAAAGTCAGTTTGGTACATATTTTTATCAACAATTTTTTTTTAAAAAGAATGAATGTTAAAAAGTGGTAAAAATATTAAACGACAAGATTGTTAACAACTGATTTATGGTTCATATTATCGAAAAGTGCACCAATGATGTTATTATATGCAGGTATAATTGTAAGCTCCCTACTCAAAGTATTACGTGTTTGCTGGCTCGTGTATTGGGATGGCTGCTCTCGTGGGGGATTTCGAGGGATGAACGGACGGTCTGTCCCACGTGGTATAATAATAATAATTTTAAAAATATTTTCTTGTTTAACACTATTCATTATCTATGATTTTCATTTTATCAAGTTGTTGCTGCTTTTGTCGTGTGACAATTACTTTCTCACACAACGTATCATGAATTTTTGACTTCGAGCAACTAAATAAATAATTACTTTCTCACACAACGTATCATGAATTTCGACTTCAATTAAAATTATTTAGTTGCTTGAATTGAACATTTTTATTCCAACTAATTATGAAAAGTATTTTTCACATAATGTATCACGAGTCATCGACTCAATTATAATTATTCGGTTTGCAAAAAAAATTCACATATTTTTTGTCAATTAATGCTCATGACAGATCAGATAAGATATTATTTTGAAATAAATGGATAATTGTTGGTGAATTACCAACTTATAAAATTCCACGTGTACTTCAATGATTGTCCTAACTCAGGGTCCATTTCTATTATCAGGCATTAAATTTTTGAAACATGCTACATGTACAGTCATTAGTTGACTGTAAATTTTAGAGCGCGCCCACTAATGACTATACAAGTGATTTTTTTGTACATTTTTTGTACCGTAACCATCGTCCCTCATCCAATGATTACATCACACCACACTAATTAGCGTGGACGCCCACTAATGATTTTGTACCGTAACCATTGTCCCTCATCCAATGATTACATCACGTGTCCTAGTTGATCAATTGTCTCTGTGTCATTTTTTGATTTGTCAGTATCAACGTCATCTCTCCCAACCCCTCAGTTTTATCATGTATAATATTTGTTTGAAAAATAAAAATATTTAGAGTAGGTTTGATAACTTGATTGACTTTATTTTTCATGAAAAATATTATCTAACTTTTGGTCATGTTCGAAAATAAGGAAAACATTTTTTTAGAAATGGGTTGTTTTTATTTTTCAAATAATCCACTCTCTCTCTCTCTCCCTCCCTCCCTCCCTCCCTCCTGCCCACCAATAATTTATATACAAGTAATTTATAGGCAATTGAATTGCCTAAAATTTATTTTCTTTCCACGTAAATTTCATGCTCACAATCAAACCCACCCTTAAATTTTTTACGTTTTATTAAAAATCTGATTTTTTTAGCAAAATCAAACAGAGGCTTGAATACATTCATACTAGACTTTTTAATTTATCTCCTAAATTACAAAGAGTTTGCATAACGTTGTTGGATTGTACGTATCGTGTAAAGAAATAATAGCTCTATTTGTAGTGACTTAGATTCCTTCTAAAAAAAGAAATAACGATGTTTGCCTCATATATGTGTATATACACACCACGAGATCAATAAATTTGATTCACAATTTTAAAATAAAGACAAGGTCTACATATTCAACATCTATTTACATTCTACACATGACGCTATAAAAATTAATTCAATCCCTCTTGTTAGGACACGTTTAACACGAACTATCAAATTTTTACTGGATATTACAATAGACAAGATGACCACGTTAATAGCCAAGGTATTGAACCCCTGACATTTCGTGCTATAAATTGGCCCTTCTCTCAAGCCTTCTCCCACATTCAGTTTTCACTTGACATTCTTTGTTCTTGTACAATCAGGGCAAATCCAGTTGGTGCTTCTTAAAAGGTACGTACTTTTTTTTTTTTTTTTGAACAATGCTCAATTTCAAAACAATAAACTATACATATTTCATTGGGTTATTTCACCATGTAGTGACTAATCCGAACAATAGAAAGTGCTACCGTTCTTTCAGAAAAAAGAACTCTGTCTTTCCTGAAACTGGCTCATGAGATGAAGGCGATCGAGTGGTTCTAAGTTCACGAGTTAAGTTAATTTGGCAGTATGAGATGCAACTAGAGTAGTTGTAATCCACTTGTGTGTAGAATTGACGTACATGACGACCCATATTTTCAAAATGACAGACTTGTTAAATCGAAACGGTCAATAAGAGGAAGTGCTCAAGCGATTATAAGCTCACAAACGGAGACTTAGCGTGTTTTTGTTTGTTTTCTGATTCGAATTTATGTCATCTTCTCATTTTGTAGAGAAGAAAAGATTACTGCATTGAAGAAGCCATGACAATCAAGCCAGTCGTACGAATTGTGGACGGGAAACTGGTGGTGAAGGATCGGACCATACTGACAAACGTGTCGGACAATGTGATAGCCACCTCTGGAGCCTCGGCCTGGCCGATGGAGGGCGTGTTCAACCACGATAACAACTACCATGTGATGTCTCTTGGGACGCTGCTCGAGGTTCGATTCTTGGCTTGCTTCAGGTTCAAATTGTGGTGGATGGCACAACAAATGGGGGACAAGGGCCGAGATATTCCCCTGGAAACTCAGCTCTTGTTGGTAGAAACAAAAGATGGATCAAATTTAGAGTCAGTTGTTAATGGAAATGAGGATAACAATGTTGTTTACACCATGTTTTTGCCTTTGGTTGATGGACCATTCAAAGCTTGTCTTCAGGGGAATGTTCATGATGAGCTTGAATTGTGTTTGGAGAGTGGGGATATCGGCACCGTTGGGTCGACATTTGTTAATTCTAGAAATGAGGAATTGAATTGTATTGCAAAAGTTCTCAAATGAAAGTATGTACAACAGCTATATATATAGCTCACGGAAATGAATTCAGTTATGCTAACAACCAACTCAACTAACTAACAAAACTGATTAACTAATAACTAACTAACTAATTCAGCTCCAGCTTGATTCCTTCCAGTAGCTTCCATCAACTCCAGTTCGACATTTAGCTTCCATCTCTAATACTCCCCCTCAAGATGTACTGTAAATATTCTTTACAGACATCTTTCATAGCAGAGGAACAAGACTTGAAGCATTTAGAGGTTTAGTAAACATATCTGCAATTTGATGTTGTGACCGGATAGGTAGAAGTTTGATTATACCAGCAGCAACTTTATCCCTTATGAAGTGGCAATCTATTTCGATGTATTTGGTACACTCATGAAATATAGGATTGGATGCAATTTGAATTGCAGCTTGATTGTTACAGAAAAAGTTAACTAGAGAGGTAATGTTTGTCTGAAAATCTTCCAGTAGCTGTTTGATCCAAATTGTTTCACTAATAACAGTAGCTACAGCTCGATACTCCGCTTCAGCTGATGATCTGGATACCGTAGCCCGTCTTTTAGATTTCCAAGAGATCATGGATTCTCCAATGAATATGCAAAACCCAGTTGTGGATTTTCTTGTATCAACACAAGATCCCCAGTCTGCATCTGAAAAAGCCTGTAATTTCAGAGGTGAACCATCATGTGTTGCTGAGAAAAACATGCCTTGACCAGAACTGCTCTTTAGATATTGAAGCAGATGATGAACCGCCTTGAGATGCGGCATCCTAGGTTGAGATAGGAACTGACTTAGCTTGTGGACTGCGTAGGTGATATCAGGTCTTGATAAAGTCAAGTAAATTAACCTTCTAATCAACCTTCTATATTGAGATGCATCTGATAGCAGATCACCTTCATGTAAACTGAGATATGCCTTCAGATCCATAGGTGTGTTGACCGGTTTGCAATTCAAGTATCATGTATCTTCAAGTAACTGTAATGTGTAATGCCTTTGTGAAATAACAATTCCAGCCGTGGACCGTGCTATCTCAATTCCCAGAAAGTATTTCAAATATCCCAAGTCCTTTAGCTTAAACTGGGAATGTAAGAAACTTTTCAACAACTCTATAACTTGCATATTTGGGCCAGTGATGACTATGTCATCCACATATACCAACAGAGCTACGAATTGACTTCCTTGTCCTTTGGTAAATAGAGAGTGATCAGCCTTTGATTGTACAAAGCCAAATTGAATCAATGCTTGAGAAAATTTTGAATTCCATTGCCGTGATGCTTGCTTGAGTCCATATATGGATTTTTGTAGCTTACATACCAATCTCTTCCCCTGCTTTACATTATTTGAGACTTCATATCCAAGTGGTAGATCCATATATACTTCCTCGAATAAGTCCCCATTCAAAAATGCATTGTTAACATCCGTTTGCATCAAATGCCATTTGTTGTATACTGCTAGTGCCAATAGCAGTTTGGCGGTAACTATTTTGGCCACCGGAGAGAATGTGTCGAAATAATCAAGTCCCTCATGTTGAGTGTATTCTTTCATAACTAAACGAGCTTTATGTCTATTAATGGTTCCATCTGATTTGTGTTTGATTTTATAAACCAATTTACACCCAACTGAATGCTTCCCAACTGGTAAAGGAACCACAGTCCACGTTTTATTCTGTTCCATAGCTTCTAATTCCAGTTTCATGGCTGCACGCCATTGAGGATCTTTAACAGCTTGATGATAGAACTGTGGCTCATGATGGGATGAAATATTCAAGACCATATGTCTGTATGAAGGGGCTAATTTCTCATATGATATGTACTGGGCAATGTGATAAGGAAATTGTTGAGCTAGCTGAGAAACTTGAGACAGTAGATTACAGTGAAAATCCTTGAGGTATTTGGGAGGTCTAATAACCCTTTGTGATCTTCGACTTTCTTGCTCCTGATCATCAGATTGCTCAATTACATCATCAATAGGCTGAACTTGTTGAGATGAAAGTTCTGCCTGAGGTGTTGGTATGAATATGTTATGGTTCCTGCCACTGGTTTCTTGATGTAATGAAAGTGAGGGTACTGGCAACACTAGATCAGGAAATGGATCCTCAAGATGATCGGCCTCTACCAATATATGAAAAGGAAATATGTCTTCATGAAATACCACATCTCGAGATAGAATTATGGTTTTAGAGGTTATATCATATAATTTCCATCCTTTAACTCCTGCTGGATACCCTAAGAAGACACATAATCGAGCTCTTGGCTGAAACTTGTTTCTGTGTGCAGTTAAAGTTGGAGCAAAATCCAAACAACGAAACACCTTGAGTGTGGAATAATCTGCAGCCTTTTGATATAATACTTCATATGGTGTTTTGTGATTCAAAATTGGAGATGGAGATCTATTTATCAAAAAAGTGGCCACCAAAACACATTCAGTCCAGAATTTTGTGGGAACTCGTGACTGAAAATACAATGCTCTTGCCACATTTAATAGATGTTGATGTTTACGTTCTACAACTGCATTTTGTTGAGGTCATTCAACACAAGTGAACTGATGCAGCACTCCATTCTCAGCAAAAAACTCAGAAAATAACTCAAGAGCATTATCTGATCTAAAAACTCTTATCTTGGCATTGAACTGAGTTGTTATCATATTGAAAAACCTAGGAACCACAACTCCAGCATCTGATTTTTATTTCAATAAGAACAATCATGTAAACCTTGAACAATCATCCACCAATGTCATGAAGTATCTATGTCCTGTGTATAATGGTATTTGATATGGACCCCATATGTCACAATGAACAAGATCAAACGGTTTCTTTAAAAAATGATTATGTGATTTGAAAGATAGCCTTCTTTGTTTAGTAAGAGGGCAAATATAGCATGGAACATTTTTATTGAACATGTTTACATCACATGGAAGCTGATTTTTCAAGCTATTTAATCTTCTAAAAGAAATATGGCCTAGTCTATTGTGCCATATTTGAATGGAAACATTGTTTACAAGTGCATCAGAAACACAATTAACATTTTGAAAAGATTCCAGAGTCTTGACATCCAGAACATATAGATCTTGTACTCTATCACCATTACCAATCATCTTCTTGGTTTTGGCTTCCTGGATGATAAAATGGTCATGAAAGAAACTTATGGTGAGATTTGATCCAATTGTCATAGCACTAACAGACAAGAGATTAAATTTAAACTGTGGCACAAACAGGACATCATGAAGTATAAGGCTTGATCTTAATCTGACTTCTCCACATAGTTTAACCGGTATCTGTGCATTGTTAGGTAGAGTAACCGTGGAATTTTCCAGAACTCTCATTGATATAAAAGCTGAGGCAATAGAACAGACATGTCGTGTTGCTCCTGAATCAACTATCCAAATGTCTTTGGATGAATAGAAATGATTTGTTGATATGGAATAACATATATCTGTAGCATAAGATATGATATTGTTATCTTGTTGACCTGAAGATGTTGTTGGCGTGTTTGAACTTGAAGCCAGATGAGAAGACAACATAGATATCAGATGTTGATACTGATCAGAATTGAGGTTCTGTATAAAACTTCCAAATCCTGATTGTTGAGCAGATTGTCCATCTTCAGTTGCAGATATTGAGGCCTGATTGATTAAGTTGTCTCTTGATCTTTGCTTATACCCAGGTGGATAGCCATTTATTTTGTAGCACTTTTCAATTGAATGGCCATGAAAATTGCAATGAGTGCAATAGGGTCTTTCCTTCTTCTTACCAGCCATGACATTTCCAAACCTTGAAGTATTGTTGTGTGATTTAGGAATCATCATTCCTCTGTTATTGTCAGCTTTAAAGGCAAAAGTTGCACCTCCATTTTGCTCAATTCCGGATGATGTTTGAATGCCAATTTTCCTTTGATTTTCTTCTTGAGAAATCAAAGCAAATACCTTTTTAATTGGGGGCAAAGTATCCATAAGTAATATTCGTCCCCTGATTTGTGAGAAGGGATCATGCAGCCCCATTAGGAATGACGTAGTGTATTCCATTTGATAGTGGTTATTCAACTCCTTTACTCCACCACAAGTGCATTTTCCACAATTGCAGGTAGGGCGATAATTGCTTAATTCCTCCCAAATAGTTTTAAGTTTTGTGAAGTAAACGCTCACACTATTCTGATCTTGAACCAAATTCATCAGATCTCTTCTCAATTGGAAGATGCGAGGTCCGTTTTTCTGCTGGTATCTATCTCTAAGATTTGTCCAGATTTCATACGCTGTGGTAGCATATATTATACTTGCAGAAATCTCCTTAGAAACTGAATTTAGAAGCCAGGAAATAACAATGTTGTTATTTCGAATCCAAGAATTGATTAAATCAGAATCAGCACCTTCAGGCTCCGTTATAGATCCATCAACAAAGCCAATCTTATTCTTCACTGATAACACGATCGTTATTGCACGACTCCAAGAGGCATAGTTATCTCTGGTCAGCTGTTGCGACACCAAGATCAATCCTGGGCTATCGGAATGGTGAAGGAAGTAAGGGCTTGAAGGATCATCAACAATTGATCTGTTGAATGAAGTTCTTGGGTTACCAGATTGATGTAATTCCATTTGATATGATGAACAATTGAATGATCAGATGAAATAGAAATGTAAATGCGGAAATCTATTGCTCCGATACCATGTTAGAAATTAAAATGATAGAAACTAGAAATTGAAAAAATAGAGCATGCTGGAAATGGCAGGGAAGAAGATGAATATTTCATTCAATCAACTTAAGAAATTACATTGCATACTAGTGTATTTATAGAGAAAAATAGCTAACAAACTAACAGGAAGAAGGATAGGTTGCATGTGCTGGTCATGTAATAGAAGAATCTGGAATAAGAGAGCATGCTGAACGTGATTTGCTATTGCTGAAGGTGCTGCTAATCGTGTAAGCTGGTGTTGAATCGTGTGATCTGAAATTGGATTTCATATATTCCAACAACATTTGCTCATTCAATTTACATTAGTTCATGTACCGATCCGTACGCCACGATATACGAGGCGATTTCGGCTGTCAAATTGCATCTCGGGACATTCAGGCTTAGGCATGAGAAAGAGTTGCCTGGATTTGTGGGTTACTTTGGTTGGTGCACATGGGATGCTTTCTACCAAGAGGTGACTCAAGAAGGCGTTGAGGCTGGCCTCGAAAGTCTCACTGCTGGCGGAACCCCTCCAAAGTTCGTCATCATCGATGATGGCTAGTAATCAGTTGTAGGTGATTACGAAAAAAAAACGAACAACGACAACAACCCCTTCTAAGATTAACCGGAATCAAAGAAAATCCAAAATTCCAAAACAAGAATGACCCAACAGAGGGAATCAAGTCCATAGTCAACATCGCGAAACACAAGCACAAACTAAAATATGTCTATGTATGGCACGCAATAGCCAGCTACTGGGGTGGTGTTCGTCCTGGCGTGAAAGAAATGGAGGAATACGGATCGAAAATGCAGTATCCAAAGCTGTGCAAGGGAGTTCTAGAGAATGAACCAGGGTGGAAAACGGATGCAATTGCAATGCAGGGATTGGGATTAGTGAATCCCGAAAATGTGCAAAAATTTTACAATAAATTGCATAGTTATTTAGCCTCTACAGGGGTTGATGGAGTAAAAGTGGATGCACAATGCATACTAGAAACACTTGGGGCAGGACTTGGGGGTAGAGTTGAATTAACAACGCAATATCATCAGGCACTTGATACTTCTGTTGCTAGGAATTTTCCTGATAATGGCTGCATTTCTTGCATGAGTCACAATCCTGAATCCCTCTATTGGTATGTTTTTCTTTTACTTTAAAGTAGTGGTGAAAGTTAAAAATAAGTTACTTATTACTACGTGTTTTGATCTAACGGTCCAAAACAAACCAGCTCAAAACAAACGGTTATTGTGAGAGCATCAGATGATTTCTACCCGCGCGATCCTGTTTCTCATACAATTCACATTGCTGCAGTTGCATACAACAGCGTGTTCCTTGGAGACATAATGCTAACTGATTGGGACATGTTCCATTCACTCCATCCGACAGCTGAGTACCATGGATCTGCAAGGGCTATAAGCGGTGGACCTGTCTATGTTAGGTAAGATATCTAAGACCTTCGAGAATTTTTTGTTACGTTGAACTGAGACAAAATTGAAACTAAAGTTAAACTAAACGGAATTGAATATTATAAAGAGAGATGCATCATTTTGTAGAATCTTATTTGGTCTGACGTATCAAATGTACTATTAGTGTTTTTACATATTAATTAGAGAATAATGCACTATTTGCATAATCAATTCTTGCATTTCTTGAATACATGGTAAACTAACATAGTTTTTTTAAAATTCATTGATTCTTCTTGATCAATTATTGCGTTTCTTGAACATAGAGTTAACTAACACACAATCTTTGTAACAGTGATGCACCTAGGCAACACAATTTTGATCTTCTGAAGAAGCTTGTTCTACCAGATGGTTCAATTCTTCGAGCTCGGTTGTCTGGTCGACCTACCAAGGATCGCATGTTCTCTGATCCTTCTAGCGACGGTGTTACGTAGAGTTTCTTAATTGAAAATTGTTGTTCAGTAAGGAGAATTTGACAAAATCATTAGTAAGAAAGAATGAAGCTAAAATCTTGTATAATGTCGAGTCTTGTCTTAATACTGTGTGCAACAGACTTCCAATTCAAGGGCCAAAGCCGCCAAACTTTGTTCACTTTTGAATGTGAAATGAAATCCCATTAACATCTTTCTGATTAAATTTGGTTTTATTTCAGCCTATTGAAGATATGGAACATCAACAAGCATACTGGAGCACTTGGAGTATACAACTGTCAAGGTGCAACATAGAACAGTGTTGAGAGGAAGAACACATTCCACCAAACTAAATCTGAACCAATAACAGGCAATATTAGAGGTAGTGATGTATATCTGATTTCTGAAGTTGTCCTGGACTCCAACTGGAATGGTATTGTCGCTATGTACTCCTACCAGAGTCGTAACCTTGTCACTCTGCAATACCATGTTGCCATACCGGTGTCACTCAAGGTCCTCAAACACGAGATCTTCACTATTAGTCCGATTAAAGTATTGGCGCCCGGTTTCAGCTTTGCACCCTTGGGCCTCATTGACATGTTCAATGCTGGTGGCGCAATAGAAGAGCTCAAATATGAAGTCAAGGCTGGGACTCGAGTTTCTGAAGCCGGAGAGGAGAACTTAAGCACATGGGTGGTGGCCATCATCTCCATGCATGTAAAAGGCTGTGGGCGTTTTGGAGCTTATTCTTCAACTAAGCCTAGAAAGTGCACTATGGGATTATCACCTGTCGAGTTTGAATACGATTCAGTGTGTGGGTTGTTGACCTTAAATTTGCATGAAATGCCTTCTGAGGATCAGAAAGTTCACATTGTTGAGATTGAGCTATAAACAGGGGAGGACCCAGCACCCGGCCAGCCCCGGCGGCCGCCCGTGTTGGATCCGCCAGAATAGTTTTTTTTTTTTTTACAATGAATAAAAATTTGAGATTAAATACCTAGTAAATTCCTTTTTTGCCGTTCAATTCTTGTAGCTCAATTGGCAAGATGTTGTATGTTCAAAGGAGAGGTTGGAGTTTTGAATCCTTTTCCCAACGTTTTATGGTGAAATGTTTTTAATTCTACAATTTTTGCCAAAATTAAATGAAATAAGAAAAGTGATTTGAACCCATGACCTCATGGTTAAATATTGCACACCCAACCATTGTGACACTCATGGTATTTGATAATAAGTTTACTGAAATAATATATATTACATTTTAGCGGTTTTAATGCAATTGTAAAAATTGAATTTGTGCTTTCTTTGAATTATACAAAATTTGGCCATAATATCATTTGGTGAATATTGTTAATTTTTATAACAAAATTATATATATTTAGTTTGAACAAAATAATTGTTATATTTAAATTTTAGACCTTGTTTGATTTTATTTTTTTCTCTTCTTTCAATTTTATATTTTTTAATAAAATAATATTATATGCAAATTCAAAATGTTTCCTTATTTTTAACCACACATTTTTCATCAAATCACTATTTCAAAATGCATTTTTTGCAATAAAAAATGGGCATCAAACGAGACTCTTAATATTTTATTGCTGACAACGGTGGACGATCCACAATCGCCCGTGCTGGCTCGAAATCCTGGGTCCGCCACTGGCTATAAACATACTTTTTAGGCCGTTAAAGAAGCATAACTGGAAATTATGGAGCTAATAAAGTGGACTTACCGGAGGTGCAGTACTTTCCATATGCTAGTTAAATCTCGTCCACTCTAGAAATATCAAACACGCACTAGGCATATACAAGCCCCTCGGGCTGGAGAAAAATTGAGCTCAGATTAGTGCTCGTCCTGTTTCAATTGAGAATCCCTCATATCATGTGCCCTTTATCATCTTCCTGGTGGGAAGAAACCAATAATAGTAAATGGCAATCAAAAAAATTTCCATCATTATCATGCTGGTTAAACTATGAAATGTTTTTCAATCAATTTTTTTCTTTTTTTTTTTTTTGATACCCAGGTATCCTAGCTTAGCCAGACTAAATCCTGGACTTCCAGCCACCGGCCCCTCAGCGACTTGAGGAGGTAAACCGCGGATTATGCCCTTGTTGACTCCCAGGTTCCTACACTACTTATACTCCTAGTTCCAAGAGAGCTCTCCTCACTGCCTTCCAGTCGTTGCCTTGTCTTCGAAAAAATCCTCCTTCCAAGACTCGTGCCTTCTAGGAATCGAACTCTCCACGCTGGGGTTGCGAGCCCACAAATACAATTGTTCCATCAACTCGGATGTGCCCCGGGAGCTTTCAATCAATTTTCTTGATATCATTTGAGAGGGGTTACATTATTGTAATTATAAGCAACACGAATTATTATTAAACAGATGCAGCACTATAAAGAAAAGGCACTTTGTAACCAGTCTATAGAAACAACCAAAATTAAGCACAAGTTGGTATTCTGAACAGACTGGGAGATTTAATTTCATCACAGTTTTAGTAGGAAAATAGCACGTAATTTTATAACAGTAAGTAGGAAAATTGCAAGGGGAAAAACAAAAATCTTTTTAAGTCATTTTTTATATCTACAGAACAGTCCCTTGCACAAGAGAGTTGAATTGCAACTTTCATCAGTAAATGATGGGATCTTCATTGTTGAAACGAGTTGTTCAATCGAGTAAAAAAATACTATGCTCGGATCATTGAGATTTCTGTCAAATTCTAGACACCATGGCTATCCACACTTCAAACTTTTCATCTCCCTCCTGGTTCTCGAGATACAAAGTTTTTTCTTCATCTTATTCAAATGGTTGAACAGAACTTTTAATTCCTTGCAAACTTCATCAGTCTTCCAACTCTTCAAAGTTTCTCATTAGTCATTACTTTCCTAACTTGAAAGTATTTCAGTATTACTTCACATCAAAAGTCCCTGCTGCAACTTTGATATTTCAAAGTGCTCACTCTTCATGTTGTGGGGTTCTGCAGCAGGTCGATAACTATTGATTAACAAAATGCAGGCAAAGAGTTTCTCCAATATCATGCTATCCCTAAGGGTACTCAAACTGTTTAATTTGCCGATACAATTTTATCTCATACATTGTAGGATGATTTTCCTACATTCATCTAGTCAAGGGCTTGTTGAAGATAAAATAATAATAAACAAATGAGACAAGGTCCTAGGTTAAATCTTATTGCTACCTCTTTATAAAACTTCTGCGAATCAGAATTTTGATTTAGAAAAATGAATCTTACTTGCACGTGAGAGGTATGTTGAAGAAAAAATATATTAAATGAATTCACACTTGTTCTTCATCAAATTTACTACTTCTCAGTGTTTTCAGCAACAGACGATGGATTGTGACACATAACTACACTGCTCTCTTCTACATTTTCTTCTCATCTCCTCTCTTGTGTTTCTTTTCTCGAGTTTTATGTTTTCTTTTCTATTAAGCTCAAAAAAAGAAAAAAATGTTAAGTAGCTACTTTGCTGTTTCATTTGTTTTGAAAAATTTTCAAGTTGAGGAAGAAGGGTCTTGTTATGTTATTTACTACTTCGTCAATCTATTAATTGCAAGTTTCGAAATCTATAGTCTTTCTAGGTTCAAATTGAGGCCAACGCTTTAAAGCGCCTTAAGGCTTATGCTTGATTCATGAAGGCTTACCAACTGATAATTCAAGGTTACAGTAGATTGCACACATAATGTATCCCAAATTACTATTGAATAATATTACACTTGAGATGGAAAACTTTACCAAAAAAATTGGGAAAAATTCAATTCACATGCCACCTGAACTTGGTTGTTATACAAAACCATAACCCAAGCAGTTGAGACAGCGTTGTACCCTTCAATCAAAGCAAACGAAGAGCATCAGTTTCACAACCACTTCAACTATTAAACAGGAACATTATGGACAACAAAAGGAAAAGGGCTGAAATGAAGATCACTTGCCTAAATCCATCACAGGTCGGGCAAACACATGGGTTTATAAACACGGGATCATAAAGTGGAGACCACTTTATTATGCCATTAGTTTTACACAGTTTGCAAGGATAATAACCTATCCCTTTACAAGCCCCACATAGTCTGCCATATTTTTTCTGCAAAAAGATGCGTAGTTAATGATATTGCTAAAGAAAGAAACACAGCAAATCAAAAAATTTGACCCCATGAGTTGCAATCCACAGCCTATGTGAATTTATTGGACGGAGGAATAGAAACTGAATAAAAACCTCATCAATCATCATATTTTTAATCCCTAATGCAGTCAAAGTTGATTCACAAAATTTAGCATTCATGCATTTATAATTTACCCTTATATGTAGAGTGAGACGTCCAGAAATGGAAGAGGTCAAGAAACCGAGAGCAAAAGTTCCACCAAAGAATGCAACAGCAGCTGTAGCAAACATGCGCAGAGTTTGGGAAACACCATTGCTGGACATCTTTTACCACAGTGCTTGTTTGTTTATCTTTTTAAAAGATTTTTACTGCCAAACATAAAAACTTGAGTTAGAACACAAGAGATAGCTCCAAAACCACACAATATCATTTGGGGTTATACGTAAATGAGTAATCTCTAGAAAGACCTATTTCTCATAAACCATTTTCCAATTTTTACACCTCAAAACTTCTGGATCCTTTTGTCTCCATCTCACCTATCTTCTGTTCCTTTTTTTTTTAAATATTATTTTTCCTTTTCATACAACTCTTTCCAGGGTTAAAACAAAGAAACTTTATGCTTTTAATAAAACATAATACACCACTATTAATCCAAAATGTCAATTGTCCTGTTCAGATTTTTTCCTCATCATTTAGTATAAAGGCTTTGTAATATATGTAAAGCTTGCAGTCTCAAAATGAACACATAAAAACTCAAATGCTTCCATTAAAATATGTTCTGTGCAGTTACAGAAGTATTCTTCCTGCAACAATTTCATTATATGAATTAATTAAGTAATATAGTCTTATAAAAGCAACTAATTAAGTCTAAACTAAAAAATTTGCAAATTCAATTTGAACAAAAGGACTTAGCTATTTTTCCAAAAAGTAAACTAGACAAGTAATCTTTCAATTTTGGCTTAATCATCATGCTAAAGCCATGATAGTTAAGAATGTGAAACTATCTTTGATTATAGCAAAATTACGGATGTTCGTAGCCAATAGACGAAACACTATACTAACATAAAACTAATACCAATTTTATTAAAAATGTGTGCTTTAACTATCAAATTGACTTCATTTTTTCCTGGTATTATTCTAGATTTTGTGTGTTGTGTGTGTGTGTCAATATAAATAAATCTGTTATTGTACCTCTAACCGAGCATTTTGACATTCTTGCACTTTGTGGAATGTTGGATCAAATTATATTTTTAAAAATTAAGAATTGAAAACCCTAAACTCTAACTTGTAAAAATTCGAAAAACTAAAATAGTATCTACCAAATTTCAAATTAAAATACAACATTGAACACTGTAAAATAATCAAATAAATAAAATACGCATTTAAATTGAAAAATAAATAAATAAATAAAATAGAGAAGGACTAAAGTAATTACCTTACCAGATTGGAGTGGAGTCGCCTGCCCAATCGCAGGCTGGAGTGGAGTCCGACTGAGAGGTAAGAACCAAGAACAGGGATCGATTTGTATTTGAGAAGAAGGAAACATCTAATTTTGGGTCTGCTCCGCCCCTGCTTGCAGATTAGCAGCATAAGAACGTATACAAAATTAACTCAAAAAACTATTATTACATCGTATATCATTCATCATTTCATTCAGAGAACAAGAACAAATCCTCCTCTACAGGTTACAGATAAAGAAAAAAATTGAAATTTATTAAGCGATTCAGTAATTTAAAGTTACGAAGAAGCAGCGGAAACTTGCCTTGGCTACACTCAAAATCGATGTTCCTTTATTGAATGCTGGAGCAGATGGATAAGAAAAGCTTCTCTCAGTTGCTAGGTTTTGAAATGTTTGCT